GGGGGGGAGTTTACTTGTATGAATATTTCAGCATATCAGTCTTTAAAACATTTTGGATATACAGGGATACAAAAGAGTTCACTTGCAGTTTACTCTTACTGTATAGTATTTAATGATCATTATCTTTGTGATATTTCTTTTGGAATTTCTTGCATACTTCTCATCCTTTTTTTCAAACTTAGGTTTTGTTCAATTAAGCAATTATATTAAAAAGCAGCATGGTCTGCTCATGAGTATTGAGTTAAATGTTTGAAATGGAAGAACACTTATTTGAACTTGCTGTTGGCTGGAGCGAAAGGTCATTGTAACTTGTTTCACTTTCTGGTGGTCTTTGCACAGTTCAAGATTACCAACTCATTACTATTTTACTATCGCCCTGATTTTTTTTTTTTTTAAAAAAGAGTGAAATTTTTTACAAAGGCTTATAACTACAAAGAAATAGGTATACATATTATGTATTTAGAGGAATTTCCAGAGAACTAATTAATATCTTAAATGATACAGTATTTTGGATATGGCTTCTGTTCCTGCCAGCAAAATAGCTTCTACTCTGGTGTTTGGTAATGGCAATTATAAATAAGTGCTAGTTCTCAAGCGCACATGGAGCCTGATACATTCTCACTGAAGAGAGTAGATTCCCACAGACATCAGCTATAGCTGGAGCAGGCTCATGACATGTTTTGCTGTTCTTTCACCTCTTGGATATGGCAATTTCTATCTTCAGTTATCCTTTTGATAAAAAGTGAGGAACTCCATTGTATTCCTGTTATGTATCCAAAAACTATGCAGTGGCATCAATATCAGCCAGTGGTGCGTAACGAAGAGTGCCCATACCTGAGAGCATTACCATGGGTGGATTCATTTAAGCCATTGTTTTGTGGCTTGTGCAGTCTCAATGCCGTTGTTAGCATGTTGTCTGTTTTTCCCATTATGCTTAAAACTAGTAAATTCTCTTTGACCACGCGAAGGTGTAGGTGGTCTAAGCATACTGTCCGTTTGAGGCCTACGTTGTAGTATGGTTTAAATGTTCACCTTGCATCCAGAGAAGACATCCAAAACCTCACCCAAGTCAGTCATATTGAGCTTGAATTCTGTCTTCCATCTTCTAACTCATTTTCCAAAGCTAATCTTCGTATGTCCAATAGTTAAAGTTACCTCTAGCAAACTTCAACAATTGGAAGTTACTTGCAGTATACTTACAAACTGGTCACTTGCGGTGACAGATTGCTGCATCCGGTACTCGGCGCTCTGCCCTCATGTTACAATTAAAAAGTTGAGATAGCTTGTAAGAATTAGTTAAATCAATTACACAATATTATAGTAATTTTCCTGATTTGTATCAATGAAATTAGGCTAAACCATCAATGCAAACGTGGGGGTTATATGTACTTCTGTAGCACTTAAGTTTTTCAATCCTATCCAGAATGAGACGTTTGCAAATATTTGTGGGAGGGAAGGGAGGAGTGGGTTTTTCTTTCTCAAAGTTTTCAGAAGACTTCTGAAGCCATGATAATAGAGTCCTTATGTAATCCTATGGGAGCTCTATCTGATTAAAAAAAAAAAACAAATTTTTCCTTAAAAGTTATTCAAAAACTTTCTTGGGTATGTATTGACACCTGTTGGTAACACGCCTACGCTGTCATTCGTACCGTACTGTCCTTCTGCGTTAACACCCCTTTAGTTAAGTACATTCTGAATACTGTTTGTCCTTACTTCAGTGTATTTTTAAAATGTTTACTCCCCCAAATTATGTTGTTGTTGATAAGCCTACATCTTCCTTTGGGAATAGAAGAATGAATAAAGATTTAAAAAAAAAAAAAAAAACACCACCCTTAGTGTATAATTAAAGCTGACTTGAGTATTACAATAACTTACGTAATTAGAAGTCCCCCCCCAAAATAATCAGTGACTGGTTTTCTTGAGGTTTTTCCTATGTAATGAAACAAACTTTCTTTGAAAGCTTTAAGAGATATTTAATTGATTATGACTCCTAATAATTAAGATTTGGGCAATAGCTTATTACCAATAGTGAGTTTGAGTAACATTGAATCCTGGTTTGGTTTTTTTTTATGTGAGAACTGAAAAGATGCTGGAGGTGGATCTCCTTTGCAGGACAAAGTGTTCCTATTTTGTGTGTTTTGCATTAGGCTTATGAGCAGCGTTTGCTAAGTAATTGCATTGTCATAATATCCCAAGCACTTTGGCATCTTGCACTGATACTCTGATTAGAGCTAAAACTCTTCTGGCACGTGACTGGCTATAAATCTCAATATACGAAAGGGCATTAATTGAAAACAGTGTGCAATGGGTTACATGCTCTCTGAGGTACTTCAAAGATGAAACTATACAAAAGGTCCCCGTTATCAGATATTGTAACTGTCATTTCTTTC